AAAGAGTGTAATCTGTTGATGAGCATGTTGAAAATCCCCAGTCTGCAGTTTGTCATAGTTTTTTAAATGGAATGGAGGACGTATTTTGCAGGCTTAGTTCGGTTAGACTGTGCTAAGCGCAAAAAAAGATCTCAGGTTGCAGCAAGACATGCTGAAGTAAAGGAATAGCTTTGAAAACATAAAACCCGACAGTTATTCGGCTCTTGCACGTGGTCTCTCTCAATGCTAACTGGAACGCACAGCTCCCCTTGTATAGGACTGAAGTAAAGCAAATGAAGAGCTGCAGTGGCTCAAGTGGTTAAGACGCTGAACTGCAGGCTGTGGAAGGTCCGTAGTTCAGCAGTTCAAGACCCAGGTGCCGCATGAGTGAGCTCCCATCGCTAGTTCCAGCTCCTGCCAACCTAGCAGTTCGAAAGCAAGAAATTGCAAGTAGATAAATAGGTACCACTTTGGTGGGAAGGTAACAGCATTCTGTGCGCCTTGGTGTTTAGTCATGCTGGCCACATGACCACGGAAACATCTTTGGACAGCGCTGGCTCTTTGGCTTTGAAACGGAGATGAGCACCGCAACCCTAGAGTCGTATTCGACTGGCTTTCGAGCGAGGGAACCTTTACCTTTTTTAAAGCAAATGGAGACTAGATGATAGTCCTAATTTTTTTCCCTTGGAGTAAGACTCTAAGTAGGTCTGTTTAGGATTACTCTCTAAAAATACTTCATGTGCTAACTAAAATTCTTGAAAAGATATAACTAATTTTGTTTATTCCAAAGGGACAATTGCTGATTTAATGTATTGTTGGCTACTGGGTTTTAATTCTATGATGCTGTTTGACGGAATTGTTTTGTTTTTTGGGGGGTTGCTTTTTATTCGTTATCATTTTATCTGTTGTAAAACTATACAGCATCTCAGGAACTCTGTTGACAGGGCAATACAGAAGAATTTAAAATAAATAATATGCCTCTGGCTTTGTGCTAATCTCAGAACTACTGTGTTTTCCCCCTCTAATTCCAAAATGGTTACAGTGCCACCCTAGCAGAGTCACGCCCATCTAAATCCATTGAAGTCCATGGGTTTAGAAAGGTATAATTCTGTTTAGGATGGAACAGTAAATTCAATAGCTTTCCAGGGGTTATTCAGTTATCATTGCAGGAGTGATTTTTGGAGCAGAGTATCGGAGAAATTACTCTAGATGCAAGGAGACTACTGTGTTTTCCCCCTCTAATTCCGAAATGGTTACAGTGCCACCCTAGCAGAGCCACGCCCATCTAAATCCATTGAAGTCTATGGGTTTAGAAAGGTATAATTCTGTTAAGGATGGAACAGTAAATTCAATAGCTTTCCAGGGGTTATTCAGTTATCATTGCAGGAGTGATTTTTGGAGCAGAGTATCGGAGAAATTACTCTAGATGCAAGGAATTCTTCCAGTTCTTCTATCATTGATGAAGATCTACTTGCTCAAAGCACACTGGGTTTTACAGTATCAGTTTCAATACAAGTTTTCCTTTGGACCTGCTGGATTTTCCTTTGAACCTTTTCCCAAAAAATTTTCTTGATGGATCTACTAAAGGCATCCAATACAGCACAGAGCTCTCCAGCTCTTTCTTACACTAATGGCTCTGGCCTAAGTAAGAACAAAGGGTTTAACATCTCATACCTGCCTGGATTGTCACACCTAAAAGGGACAGGGATATAGACTGGGAGAACCAAAAGCTTTACCCAAATCTGGATGTTTTTACCATCCAGATTCGAGGGGTTTGTCCAGTGTTCCCTCTAAGCCGAGTTAGTGTGAGCTGGCTCACAGTTTTTTAGCCTCCGGATCACACATTTTTGTCTTAGCTCAGAAAGGAGAGCTCCAGAGCAAACTAATTTATGCAGTAGCCAAATCTCTTGCTCTCAACTTTAATGCCAGCAGCTCACAAAGTAGAATTTTTGCTCTCAAGACTCCACAGTTTAGAAGGAGCATTGGGTGGGTGTGGGTCTTAGAGTGCTGACCAGAAGTGGTGTCATTTCCAAGGTCCGATACAGCCCCACTCCCAAAATATCCCAGATGTGGAGGCACAGGCCTGGCAACCTTATGCTGGGGGGGGGGTGCACAGTGAGTCTTGCTTAAGACTGTCTGGGGAGTTTGTGGCCGAGATAAGATCTAAACTAGGGACCTCCTAGCTTATTCTCTAAACCAGAATGTTAAAATAAATCCACCCACCCACCCAAGATGGGGAATACATCACTGTGGGACTACAATAAAGTCTAGATTAGAAATATGACTAATTAATGTTATAAGAGGTTTGTGGTAGGTAGGGCTATTTTTGGGCAGGAACACACAGGAACGGAGTTCCGGCTGGTTCCCCAGTTGGCCACGCCCAGCAGGAACTCATTAGCATAATAGGCCACACCCAACAGCAGAAAGTCATTAGGATTGGCTACATTAGGGGGGGGTGGCCTAACATGCAAAGGAGTTCCTGCTACAAAAAAAAAGCCCTGGGTTTTGACAACAAACAAGGTAAACAGAATAACAAGCAAAAGGTGGGTGTGGCTGGATAACCACACTTCTGGTAACATGGGGGTGCGGCCTAATGTGCTAATGAGCTGTGCTGTCAGGGGTGTGGCCCAATATGCTAATGAGTTTCTGCTGTTGGGTGTGGCCTATTATGCTAATGAGTTCCTGCTGGGCTTTTTCTACAAAAAGAGCCCTGGTGGTAGGGAGGTTGAAAACTATAGAAATCAGGTCTAACAATCAATATGGATAGGTAGACGTATATACAGTCTGCTTGAAAGTTGCTAAATGGGGGGAAGCGATACCCAGAAGTAAAAGAACTGCAAGACATTCGTCAAAGGCCATTCAGGACACTAGGAGACATCATGGCAAAGTCAGTACTTCTTTTATGAGGTACTAACTACAGTGTGAAATACGTGGAGCACTGATCGAGACGGACCACTAGATTTGGCGCAAGCTGCAAATGTTACAGTATTTACTGGAAAAGCTCTTGGGACAGGAGAAAGTCCAGATTCTCAAGACAGGTCTTTAGCTGCTTTTTATACCTTTCTTTCTTATTGCTATTTTCATACTAAGTTTTGATGTAATACAGTTAAGGCAAACGTCAGAGGCCATCCTAAAAATGATTTATACCATTCTAAACCAATTCACTCAAAAATGATCTAATTCTGCTTAGGATGCCACTGCACTCTTGGGGGTTTGCTTGGAGAGGAAAAAAAGGAAAGAGGTTGGGGGAAGAACCAAGCTTTGCATAGTACCTATGGGGTGGTTCCTGATGGTCACCGAGAGCAGGCGTGGCCAAGTGAGTAACAAAAGCTTTCCAGCCAGAAAATATTGAGATACTGCTTCTTTTCATGGAAGCTAAAGTTCTAAAAGTCATATCAGGCCCCTGAGGTGTTGCAGTCCTAGCTACAGTCACTCTGTTGAAGGGAAAGCAACTTCTTATGTTTAATTTTGTGGTCAATTTGGAAGAGTTTTTTTTTCTCTTTTCCAAACGCATCCACCAGGACTGCTTTTTCAAGGACGAAAACAGGATGGAGTAAGAAGAGCCTTTGCCTCCACTTTCCCCCCCCCCTGAAAATGAGGAAAATTTACAGGTCGCCAAATGGTAGGCTCATCGATGCAACGAACATGAAACTGAGCAAACGTCAGAGGACGGCGGAAGACAGGAGGGCCTGGCGGGATCTTGTCCATGGGGTTGCGAAGAGTCGGACTCGACTGTGCGACTGAACAACAACAAAAAAATGGTAGGAAATCATGCAGATAACGAAAAGAAATATATAGTGTACATGGTAAGGCTGATATTCTACTGGTCCATGACTGTAATAAATTATTGATTGATTGTGCCATCCATTTTTAAAAGTCCAATAATCTCAATGGAACGTCCAGAAGTTTGATTTTTTTTTGCCTTTAAAAAAGTGATGGTGGAAGTGTCGTCAGTCACAGCTGACTTATGGCAACCCCTCACGGGGTTTTCAAGGCAAGAGACGAACAGAGATGACTTGCCACTGCCTGCTTATGCGTAGCAATCCTGGACTTCCTTGGTGGTCTCCCGTCCAAGTAGGAACCAGAGCCAACCTTGCTTAGCTTCTGAGATCTGAGAATACGGAGCTAGCCTGGGCCATCCAGGCCAAGGCAAAACGTTGGGTATTACAAGTTGAAAACACTCAGTATATTTGGGGTTAAATGTTTGTTTATGTTACTCACAGGAAGTCACATGTTTCTCATGTAACCAATGTTCTTTAGATGTAGAAAGCCCGGGAATTTTCTCCCTGATCTAGGAATTTGATTGGGACTAAAGTGTCAAGGTGTATTACCATTTTATGGCTTCTCTTCCCGTCTTTGTTTGGTGTTCTGAAGAACAAGAAGAGCAGCCATAATCTCTCTCTTCTAGTTTTGTCTTTGTAGAGTAAGGATGTAGCCGATTTAGCTCCGTTTTTATTTTCATCCCAGTTACCCTTCCCATGCTAGAATTTAGTAAAAGCTTTATATTTTAATCACACATGGACTCTCGGTCTGAATTATTTTACTCTGACTCTGCTGGACTATCTCATTTTTTCAATATCTCACTATCGCCCAACACACACACACACACACACACACACACACACACACACACAAAAGCACTCATGAAAAATTTGGAAGCACTTTGTGGAATCTTGTTGGCCAAAATATGATCACCTGGGCATATGTCCAGACATCCATGCCACCACTGTGATCTTGCAATGTGTGCTTTATAACTGGTAAAAAGAAAGGGGACAACTAGAGCAGGCCTTGCAGACTGTGGTCCTGCCTCATGGAACGGAAACAACATTCTGTAGAATTTCAAAAACAGGCGTATTTTAAATATCTGAATACAACATTTCTGATCAGAAGCCTGGGGTATATAAAAATGGTTAAAGTTTTTTTAAAAAGATGATGCTAAGACTTTAATTTTTTTTAAAAAAAAAACAACTTTGAATAAAAGGACAGTTTGTGATCATTTCTGTCCTTTGCAAAATTACATGGTCAGGATACGAAATACAGGTGCACTGAGTTTTTAAGCAGGCAACCTGTGCTTCCTGTCCACTGTAACTGAAATATAAATTTGGATTGTTCACAAGAAAATACAAGATAGGAAAAATGACTTAACTTTTTTTCCGCACCTATGAAATTCATTTCGGTACAATTATGTTGTTGCTAGTGACCTTTGGCCACCACCACCTCTGCTCGCCACGGTCGGTCAAGGTAGCTGAGTACACAGCGAAGGGGCCCGCGTTTGGTTGGTTCCAAGGCCAGGAGTTTCTGCAGCATAGAGATGGCATCACTTGAGAGTGGGCGCCAGTGAAAGGGCAGGTCTTCATCCAGACCAGATTCTTGCCATATCACAAAGTCCTCAAAGAAGGAATCTTCAGGAAGTGTCTTCTCCCAAGGAAAGTAACCAGTGAGTAAGCAGAAGATCAGCACTCCCAACGCCCAAGCATCCAGGCTGGCATCAATGGGCAGGCCTGGGGTGTCACCAGTGCCACGGCTCAGCTCGGGTGCAGTGTAGGGGATTACCCCAGCCACGAGACGCAGCAGGGTGCCCTGGGGTCGTGTCAGGCCAAAATCTGTCAGTTTGATGCAGTGGCAATGGCGGTCGAAAAGCAGGATGTTCTCAGGCTTGACGTCTCGGTACACAAGGCCTCGGCTATGGATGAATTCCAGTGCGCTTACCAGCTGTTTGGCACAGAGTTTGGCTGCCGGCTCCGGGATACCAGCCTAGTCAGAGAAGGGAGGCATTACATTTACTGCAACTGGTCTAGGAAGCAGCTACTAGATCGCTGAAAGCAGCACACTGCTGGGTCTCTCTTACTCTTATCCAGGGGTCGTTTCATAGAAAAAGAGCTAGGGGAACTCATTAGCATAACTCATTAGCATATGCCACACCCCCTGACATCACCAGAAGTGTGTCATGAGGCCACACCCCCTGACATCACCGGAAGTGTGTCATTAGGCCACACACCCCGCCCCCAACGGTCCCGGCTGCCGGCCTTGCAGTTCCACTGCCGAGCCCCATGAGGGGCCCGGCGGTGGACCTGCAAGGCCGGTGGGAGTACAAGGAAGCCCCGCGAAGGCCCCCCATACCTCACCTGGGGGAACTGCGATCCCCCGTGATCCCCCCCGAAACGACCTCTGCTCTTATCCTGTTCCACTGGTACCATTTCAAGATGGTTTCTGGCACCAATTCAAAGTACTGTTTGTGAACTTGATAGTGCTGAATTGTCTGAGATCACAATGTCTGAAGATGTCATACAGACATGTGCCCCCCTCAGAGTACAATAGCAGCACTGGGTAGTAGGGCTGCCCATCCGTGGAGGTCCACCTGGCCTGATAGGGTTGCCAGCTCTGGGTTGGGAAATACCTGGAGATTTTGGGAGTGGAGCCTGGGGAGGGTGAAGTTTGGGGGCAGTGTCCCCTCTAAGCTGAGTTAGTGTGAGCTAGCTCACAGTTTTTTAGCCTCTAGCTCACACATTTTTGTCTTGGCTCAGGAGGGATGGCTCCGGAGCAAAATAATGTATGCATTCGCCAAATTGCTCACTCACAACTTTAATGCCAGTAGCCCACAAAGTAGAAGTTGGGCTCACAAGGCTCCAAAGCTTAGAAGGAGCATTGGAAGGGAGGCACCTCGACAGGGTACAATGCTACAGAGTCCAACATCCAAAGCAGCCATTTTCTTCAAGGGAACTTAACTCTGTAGTGTGGACTTAGATCGATTGTTATACTGGGAGATCTCCAGGCCCCACCTGGAGGCTGGCAGCCCTACCCAGTGATCCCTACTGATGTCCTACTGAGTGGTGATAACTGCTCTCTTTAAGGGGGCCTTTGGGTAATAAGTCTTCTGTTCACGCTGGAAAATGGTGGATTTAGTTTTGATAACTGTTCTAATGCTGCTTAAGAGGTATTTCTTAAAATTATGTTGATGATTTCCTTATTATAGGTGGAAACCAGAGGCTGCTTAGGGCTGATTTGTTATAAAAGCTTGTGCTTTTATGTTTTCATAAATGTATTATATAACCTGCCCTGGGGATGTGTTTGAAAATGGAAAGGCAGGATATAAATAAAATAATAAATTTGGATAGAGCAGGACTCATGTGCTAGTACCTGGTGGGCAAAGCATAAGCCCACTTTACAGATACGTACACAAACACACACACACAAGACTATTTCTAGTACAGTATATATGTACATGGATTCCCCACAACTGCCGCACTTAGTTTCACCTCTAAAAATTTTAATCTGGGGAAAATTGTGGTTTTGAGAAGGGAGTCCCTTTAAAGTGGTGATGTTTAATTTATTTTAATAGTTCACCTTTCTCAGTGGGACTCAAGGTGGATTACACAGACTAAATCAATACAATCAGCAGAATGGGGCATCCAATAAACAATGCAATGGGATTTGAATTGTTGAAATCTGGAACCAACCAGGAACCTGGCATATTCTGAACATGCTAGTTCTTTCCCTCACTAGCAGCTATGGAAAAATTAGGTTGCATCCAAACATGATTGAAGCTGGTGTGCTATGGTTGTGCTATTGCAAAAGTAAAAATGAACCAGGATAGAAAGATATTAGAATGGTGAAGTCATGTAGGCTAGGTGGGATGTGCCCTCTGTGACTACAAAAATAAGTGATCTGGAAACTGGAACTGACTGGTCTCGATCAAGTCATATCCACCTGCAGAGAAAAGATACTAAGAAGTCAGATTCACTGGAAAATCCCAAGTTTAAGGTCTAATTGTGCGTGCTTATCACGGAAACTGTAAATGTGATTGGAAGAGGACACCTTCCGTGATTGGAAGAGGACACCTTCCCCCTGAGATTCTGCTTTTGCTGTCTCCTGCGATCATATAATAAAGAATTCAACAGCTCTGGAAATTACTTTTTGTGTCTTTCTTTGACACAATCATAGTCAGTCACTGCTGTGTCTTCCTATTGAGGACAAGAAAATTGAGCTGTATATGATTACCGTAGTGCAACAATAGTGCAGTATCCAACCTTGTTGGATATAGCCTTTGGGAGCAGTCCTAAGCAGGTCTACTCAGAAACAAGCCCCATGTTATTCAGTGGGCACTACTCCCAGGAAAGTGTTGTTGTTGTTGTTATTTACTTTGGATTTGTGAATCGCCTAGTCCCTGCACACACAAGGCTCTGGGTGATGTACAACAGTTAAAACAATGTTAAAATTAACAAAGGACTGCAGTCTTAGTGTTGGCATAGCAAGCCTCTGTGTGTCTTACCTTTGGCTTGATAATGGAGATGAGATCTCTATGCAGGGCTGCCTCATACAGAAAGCCATAGTGCTGGCTGGACTCTATGGCAATGCCAAACATGCCAATGATGGCGGGGTGGGCAGAGAGCGAGAGGGCCACGCAATATTCGTACAAGAAGTTCTGCAGCTTGGTGCTGGCCTTAGGCAGAAGCTTGAGAGCCATGGGGGTCCCTGTGGAAGGCAGATGAGTGGGACAGAGACACATGAGTACTGCATCATGCCAATACATGTACTTGCACATCAGACAGACAGCTGAAATTTGGTACACATGCAGCCTAAGACAGCTTCATAAATATTTTTAAAGCCTCTGAAAATGAGTATTTTTTCTACAATAGTGAATACACAATGCTGCATTCTACTGAATCATCATTGGTCCATCAAGGTCAGGATTATCTACTCAGATTGGCAGCAGCTGCGCAGGATTTTGGGCAGAGGTTTTATACATCAATTAAATCAGAAGAGTTTTCAGCTAAACATTAGGAAGAACTTGCTGACGGTTAGAGTGGTTCCTCAGTGGAACAGGCTTCCTTGGGAGGTGGTGGGCTCTCCTTCTTTGGAGGTTTTGAAACAGGCTAGATGGCCATCCATCAGCAATGCTGATTCTGTGAACTTAGGAAGATCATGAGAGGGAGGGGCAGGAAGGGTCCCATCAGTGCTTAGTTCTTATGGCCCTTTCTTACATGCCCAGGGAAATGCTGATCGCCACTTTGGGGTCAGGAAGCAATTTTTCCCCAGGCCAGGATCCTGGAGGTTTTTAGTCATCTTCTGGGCATAAAACAGTGGTCACTGGGTGTTTGTGTGCGTGGGGGGGAGGTACTTGTGAATTTCCTGCATTGTTCAGGGTGTTGGACTAGATGACCCTGGAGGTCCCTTCCAACTCTATGATTCTATGATTCCTATGTGACCATTAACTGGGAATGTTGGGGACTGATCCTTCGACCTTCTGTTCTGGTACTGAGCCACTGACACATAATATGGTCTCCTTCATAATAGAGCTTCCTACCCATATGACATAACTTAAATGTGCTGGAGTTTCTCCTTTGTTCATTGAAGATCAATTCTGATTGGAGCAAGGAGAATTCACAGAGGCTGCCAGAAAAGCATTTATGCTCTGACAAACCAGAATGGAGGGGTACTGGAACTGAGCAAGGAGCAGCCAGAAACATATCTATGCTTGCATAATGAGACTGTCTATAAGGCAGACACAGAGATCTGGACTGTACAAAAGTGCAGGGGGTTGGATCCTTCCACTACTGAAGCAGAGAGGAGGGGCCCATGAGACCAGCAAAAATTGTGGGACCTCTGTGGGGGAAAACCACATAGGATAGCACTGCTGAGTAACAGGGAACGGAGTGAGAAGTAGAAGAAAAGACAGCAGGATGAACTAATGCCGTTCACTTGCAAAAGGATTCGGAAGCCTGTGGAAAATGTGGTTCAAGAGATAAGCTGAATATTGTCGCAGAAAAGAGAAAAGCTGCTTTGTACGCCAGAAAAGATACATTGTGGTATGATTTGTGATGACATGCCAAAAATATTAACTTCTCATAGTGGCTATTTTATTTATTTAAAACATCTCTATGCTGCCTTTTCACCACCACCACCCCCAAAAGGGTCCCCATTATACCTGATGTGTTTGCCACAGGCAAATTTGAGCTGGCGATCCCACCTAATTGGCAAGTCACATCCTTCTTCTCCAAAAACAATCACAACACTAGGAATTCACCCACCTTTTCAGGCATTTCTTCCCATAGATGTCTAAGTAGAGTAAAAAGATCTATGGGTGAGTGGCATCACCAGAGCACACAATGAGGTCAATCCTTACCCCTTTTCCTGTGCGTCACAAGCACCACCTGCCCATATTTCCCCTTGCCGAGCTCCTTGACGACCTGGTAGTGCTCAGTCACTTCCATGTGTACCAGATTCTGGGAAGTGATCTCCAGCATGTCTTCTAGAAGAGCCTGAGCCTCCATTCCCAAGGTCAGATCCATTGCCAGACACTGGAAGAAATACAAAAACATACCTTCCAACATTTCAGAACGGAAAACAGGGCTGGTCTTGGGCAGTGTTCCCTCTAAGCTGAGTTAGTGTGAGCCGGCTCACAGTTTTTTAGCCTCCAGCTCAGATTTTTGTCTTAGCTCATGGAGGATGGCTGCAGAGCAAACTAATTTATGCAGTAACCAAATCGCTCGCTCACAAATTTAATGCCAGTAGCCCCCAAAGTAGAATTTTTGGTCACAAGACTCCACGGCATAGAGGAAGGATTGGTCTTGGGTATGCACACCCCTGTGGTCAAACAAGGTACCTCCCCATATTATGGCGAAAAATCTTAAAGGCACGAAGCTTCCTTTTGTCCTTCTTACATGAGGCATGTAATATGGGTTGGAGGGCAGACATGTGGAACTGGCAGTAAGTCAAACAGCTGGACCCCTCAGCCTTTTTTTTTGGGGGGGCTACCTAAAACAGCACTGGATGTTGGGGGTAGAGGCTGAAGCCCCTCCTCCTGCTGCACTGTGCTCCACAGCTAATTCAGGGGCCCTGCACAATTTTTAAGGTGAGTCCGAATCAGATGTGTACTGTGAGTTAGGTCAGGGGAACCCCAGACTCACATTGCATGTCTCATGTAACAAGGACCTTATACTGAGTCAGGTCCTTGGTTTATCAAGGTTGGTATTACCTATTCTGATTGGTGCTAACACTCCAGGATCTCAGGTATGGTTGTTTCACATTACCTATTCCTGATCCTTTTTTCACTGGCGATGCCAGAGACTGATCCAGAAACCTTCTGCAGGCAAAGTCCATGCTGCCCTATGGTCTCTCTTCTTGATCTGTTGTACAGATTTATTTCTTGTATGATAGCTTGTCCTGCACTGGCCTCTGAAGCAGGGGGCAACAATTCCCAGCTTTGAAAGTTTAAGAATGTTTCATCTGACAATGAATCTATTTGTACTTATACTTGGAGAGCTGTAATGCATTCAGTGACATTTGTGATCTTGGTGGGCAACTGTGCAGTGCTGGTGGAAGAGTGTGTGCTCTAGTGCAGATGTGCTGACATGAAGAACATCTCCAAAAAGGCATCTCCAAAAACTTCTCAAGGGACATGATAGGAAGAAGGATTTTCCCAGGGACAGAGACCAGAAATAGGGACAGTTGAAATGTATGTCCAGCATGGCTCAAATGAATTGTGTTGGGTATGGGGCAGGAAGGGAGATTCAAACCAATTCATTTATAGGTGGCACCAGTGCTTTTTGTTTGTTTGTTTGTTTAAAAAAGTGCTAGTAATCATACATAAGGTTTTCTCAATTTCCACCAATTTTCCCCTCAGGACTTGTTAGAGCCCTGAAAAAAGAGGGTCAGTACTCAGTAGTGGTGAGTAAGTAAAGGTAAAGGTTCCCTTGCTCGAAAGCCAGTCGAATCTGACTCTAGGGTTGGGGTGCTCATCTCCGTTTCAAAGCCTTAAAGCCAGCGCTGTCCGAAGACGTTTCCGTGGTCATGTGGCCGGCATGACTAAACACCAAGGCGCACGGAACGCCATTACCTTCCCACTGAAGTGGTACCTATTTATCTACTTGAAATTTCTTGCTTTCGAACTGCTAGGTTGGCAGGAGCTGGAACTAGAGACTAATAATAATAATAATAATAATAATAATAATAATACCCTTAAAAAAGCTTTGGGAGGGACAGATTGAACAAAATTGTCTTGATTTGAAATTTGGCTGCAAAAAAAGTAATCAAATATATGTTCTCCTATTTCACAAAGACAGCTGTTTATTCAAGTAGAACAAACAAAATGAGTGCTACAACGGTTTGAACGGAAAGCGTTTTTCAACAGGAGAGCAGGTTCATGACTGAAAAGCTGAGTTTAGATGTTACAAAAAATTTCCTACGGTTGCCAGCTCTGGGCTGGGAGATACCTGGGGATTTTGACGGTGGAGTCTGGGGAGGGAGGGGCTTGGGGAGGGAGACTTCAGCAACCTATAATACCATGGATTCCACCCTCCAAAACAGCTATTTTCACCAGCGGAACTTATCTTGGTTATCTGGAGACCAGTTGTAATAGCAGGAGATCTCTAGGTGCCACTTGGAGATTGGCAACCCTGTAAGTTCCCCTGATGACAAATGCAATAAATAGGAAGATAAGGCTTTTTCAGGTATGTGCTGTCAAGAAAAAGGGGACCATCTTAAATTCACATATAAGTTACACTTATGTACAGTAATAAAGAAGCTTTTAGTTTGAGTAATCAGTGGGCTTATTCAGGACTAACATTGCACGGGATTGTATTGGCCGAGTTCAAAAGTTTAAATAATGAATCTGTCAAGTTTGTAATATGACTACCTCACAATCTTTCAATTAAGATTTACTTATTTCATTGTTTATTTAAAAGATTGATAGCTCTCAGCCAAGAAAACAATCCAAGAACAAGACAGCATTAAAAAAACCAGCCTCTTAAAAATCAGTATCCTTAAAGGGATGGATTCAGATATGCTGAGGCACGATAATTTAGTGAGACACCTGGTATTTAGAGGTTGCTCATCGTCTGAGGCTCTTAACTGCAGCTTACTTAGCTCACACATACATCCAGCTTTAGCCAGCAATAAAAGTAAAGCTGGCACAAGGCTTGCATTTGCACACTGGCAGTGTCAGCCCCCCCCCCCCATACACACACACCTTCAATCCCCTACCATTGCTAAAGTGAGGAGTGGAAGAAAAAAATGGTAGGGGAATGGTAAATGATGACAGTCTAGGAATTCCCCTAGTCTGTATGGTATTTTCCATAAAGAATAGAGAAAACTCCTAGAGCATCTCCTGGAAGTGATGTCACATCCCCCTGAAACCCCACCCTTCCCAGGCATCGCCCCCCATATCTCTTGGCATATGTCAGCACAGGGCTGGGAACCTTAGCCAGTACAGCTATTAAACAAAAGAGAAAACCCATATAAAACAGCGTACAACATCAAGCAAACTAACAAGAATCCAAGAAAATTACACAAAACCAGCAAAAACAAGCAACAAGCCTAGGTGAAAAGGAAAGTCTGTCGTTTGGATCCAGCAATCCACATGCAGAAACATAAATGACCTTAACATAGTTTCACATGAGGAAAGTCTTGTGCAAAGCCTAGCACTTTGTTCTCCATATATTACAGTACCCAGAAATTGGTTGTGCAATATCTTGCACAAGCAGAAACAAAAGCAAGGATACAATACCTCTGATTTCTAGCGCAAGTGGCTATATCAGTCTCTTTCTTGTGTTTTTGCTAGTACAAGAGCTCTAAGTTGAAGCACAGATTTTCTGCTGGATTTGTGTCTAAAATTTCAGTCTCTATTGTGGCTAAATATTATCACTGGTTGATAAGGACAGCCCTCAGCAATTAGCAGAAAATGTCAATCACACCAGAATGTCACAATAACCCAGAAACAAAAGTTCAAAATTGCCTGTTTAAAGATATTGTATGCGATGCTCCCTCTAAGCTGTGGTGTCTTGTGAGCAAAAATTCTACTTTGTGAGCTACTGGCATTAAAGTTGTGAGTGAGCAAATTGGCTACTGCATAAATTAGTTTGTTCTGGAGCCTTCCTTCCTGAGCTAAGACAAAAATGTGTGAACCGGAGGCTAAAAAACTGTGAGCTAGGTCACACTAACTCAGATTAGAGGGCACACTGTATTGGGGCTGCCTCTGCTATACCCATTATATGGACAAGAGGAAATCATTCTTCTCTCCAGGCAAGCTGTAAATGGAGGAGGGACAAGTCCAAGCTAATTTGGAAGATATAAGCCCTAGTCAGGGTCCACTCCAGTTTTTAGATGCCCTGGTCAATATACCTGCCAGTGACCCCTCCCCAGTAAGCGTGCCACACATACACGTCACGTGCTACACATACACGTCAAGTACACTCCTGGAGAAGGGAGTAGGGCATGACTCTTTAAGCCCTCTAGGAACCAAACAGGCCTAAAGGAATATGAAATTAGGTCTGCTGTACTAGGGCTCTTCCTAGAAGAAAATTTGGGCGTTAGGCCCCTAGATCAACTCTGGTACCTCTGATGATCTCCCAATCCATGCAAGAGTGGATGGCTTGGGTTCCAATCCCAGCTCTGGGTTGGGAAATACCTGGAGATTTGGGGGGTGGAGCCTGAGGATGGGACGATTTGGGGGAGGGGAGGGACTTCAGTGGGGTACAATACCATACAACCCACCAGCCAAAGCTGCCGTTTTCTCCAGGTGAACTGATCTCTGTCACCTGGAGATCAGTTGCAATCAGTGTTCCCTCTAAGCTGAGTTAGTGTGAGCTAGCTCACAGTTTTTTAGACTCCAGCTCACACATTTTTGTCTTAGCTCAGGAAGGATGGCTCCAGAGCAAACTAATTTATGCACTAGCCAAATCGCTCGCTCACAACTTTAATGCCAGTAGCTCGCAGAGTAGAATTTTTGCTCACAAGACTCCACAGCTTAGAGGGAACATTGGTTGCAAATCCCAGGAGATCTCCAGCTACCATCTGGAGGAGGTTGGGTCAAGTGATATTGATCATTGCTGGGCCACCTGCCTATTCATGGGCCTTGAGAGATTCCCAACCATGTTGAGATGGGCCCTGGTATGGAAAAGAAGTTGCAGGGTGACAGTTAGTGGGCCTTGTAATGAAGTAAGCCCATCTTTTGTCCATGAGACAGTAGTGCCGTTATATAGCATTCTATGGCTTAATTATCTTTCACAGATGTCTATATTTTTGAGAGCACATTGGAAAACTGGAGAAAGAGAGGAGACGAGTGAAGAGAATGCATGTTGCTTTGATCTCCTGTCTAAACAGTTCCTCCGTTGCCCTAGCATTTTAGCAAACTTGTTCCTTAAACCTATCTATAATGTGTTCTCCCAGCCATCGAGCTTTTATTCCTATTTATTCTCTCTGTTTGATTTGAGAAGTTTTCTGGCAGCCAGTCCTTTTTCCTTGTTTAAGTATATTGTCAGTGTCGTCTCCCTTTTCCAATAGATTTTCTCAAATATTTCCT